AAGATAAGATAAGATCAGATCAGATCAGATCAGATCAGATCAGATAAGATCAGATAAGATAAGATAAGATAAGATAAGATAAGATAAGATACGATTCTTTTATTGATCCAAACAAATGGAAATGTTTTATGATTGCATTATACATTTTCAGCACATATATAAAACAATTTGAACACAAGACATTTATAATAAATTATTTCAAACAGCCATTCAGTGTGTTCTCTTGGCCAAATCGGGGAACTTATTAGTTCTCATTCAGATGTGTGACTTCAGAGGGAGCACGCCGGTAAATTCGTACAGATTGGGGAACAAAAGAATTTGTATATCTGTCAGTCCTCGCCCTGATGGAAAGAATTCGTCCCGAACGGCCTGATCCTAAGTATATGTGATGAAGAGAGTGGGATGTGTCATCCAAAATGTGTTTATAGTTTTACAAAAACATCTTTCTTCTTCGCCAAGTGAAGGATGTTTAGTTTGTGTTATGTTCCTAGCTTTCTTGATTAGTAGGTTTATGCGGTGTTTAATATAAGACGTTGAATTCCCACACCAGCAGGTAATACTGAAATTAAGTAGGCTTCTAATTGTTGCACTGTAGTTGGCACGTTCGAGAAGCAGTAGGTTAACAAAAGACTGATCAAACAGTATGTTAACAAAAGACTGATCTAACAGTATATTAACAAAAGACTGATCTAACAGTATGTTAACAAAAGACTGATCTAACAGTATGTTAACAAAAGACTGATCTAACAGTATGTTAACAAAAGACAGATCTAACAGTATGTTCACAAAAGACTGATCTAACAGTGTGTTAACAAAAGACTGATCTAACAGTATGTCGACAAAAGACTGATCTAACAGTATGTTAACAAAAGACTGATCTAACAGTATGTTAAAACAAGACGGATCTAACAGTATGTTAACAAAAGACTGATCTAACAGTATGTTAACAAAAGACTGATCTAACAGTATGTTAACAAAAGACTGATCTAATAGTATGTTAACAAAAGACTGATCTAACAGTATGTCGACAAAAGACTGATCTAACAGTATGTTAACAAAAGACTGATCTAATAGTATGTTAACAAAAGACTGATCTAATAGTATGTAAACAAAAGACTGATCTAACAGTATGTTAACAAAAGACTGATCTAATAGTATGTTAACAAAAGACTGATCTAACAGTGTGTTAACAAAAGACTGATCTAACAGTATGTTAACAAAAGACTGATCTAATAGTATGTTAACAAAAGACTGATCTAATAGTATGTTAACAAAAGGCTGATCTAATAGTATGTTAACAAAAGACTGATCTAATAGTATGTTAACAAAAGACTGATCTAATAGTATGTTAACAAAAGACTGATCTAATAGTATGTTAACAAAAGACTGATCTAATAGTATGTTAACAAAAGACTGATCTAATAGTATGTTAACAAAAGACTGATCTAATAGTATGTTAACAAAAGACTGATCTAATAGTATGTTAACAAAAGACTGATCTAACAGTGTTAACAAAAGACTGATTAACAGTATGTTAACAAAAGACTGTTCTAATAGTATGTTAACAAAAGACTGATCTAATAGTGTGTTAACAAAAGACTGATCTAACAGTGTTTAACAAAAGACTGATCTAATAGTGTGTTAACAAAAGACTGATCTAACAGTGTGTTAACAAAAGACTGATCTAATAGTGTGTTAACAAAAGACTGATCTAACAGTATGTTAACAAAAGACTGATCTAACAGTATGTTAACAAAAGACTGATCTAATAGTATGTTAACAAAAGACTGATCTAACAGTATGTTAACAAAAGACTGATCTAATAGTATGTTAACAAAAGACTGATCTAATTATATGTTAACAAAAGACTGATCTAACAGTGTGTTAACAAAAGACTGATCTAATAGTATGTTAACAAAAGACTGATCTAACAGTGTGTTAACAAAAGACTGATCTAATAGAATGTTAACAAAAGATTGATCCAACAGTGTGTTAACAAAAGACTGAACTAATAGTATGTTAACATAAGACTGATCTAACAGTATGTTAACAAAAGACTAAACTAATAGTATGTTAACAAAAGACTGATCTAACAGTGTGTTAACAAAAGACTGATCTAATAGTATGTTAACAAAAGACTGATCTAACAGTGTGTTAACAAAAGACTGATCTAATAGTATGTTAACAAAAGACTGATCTAACAGTGTATTAACAAAAGACTGATATAATAGTATGTTAACAAAAGACTGATCTAATAGTGTGTTAACAAAAGACTGATCTAACAGTATGTTAACAAAAGACTGATCTAATAGTATGTTAACAAAAGACTGATCTAACAGTGTGTTAACAAAAGACTGATCTAATAGTATGTTAACAAAAGACTGATCTAACAGTGTGTTAACAAAAGACTGATCTAACAGTATGTTAACAAAAGACTGATCTAACAGTATGTTAACAAAAGACTGATCTAACAGTATATTAACAAAAGACTGATCTAACAGTATGTTAACAAAAGACTTATTTAGGCGTTTGTGGCCTCGTCGTAGTGGCGGCGAATACGAATTTTCCGCTCACCTTAGTTTTGAATCGAATTTTGAGGTGCGCAGAACAGTTCATATTCATAGCCCTGAACCAGTAAACTCAGTGAGATCTCTTGATTTTCGGAGTTTAGTTTAACAAATAGATTAAAAATAATAGATTAAAGTAAATTGATAATAATCGTGATATATTTTCTATATTCCGCTTGGTAGGTAATTTAATTATCTCTCTTCGAAATAATTTAGTAAATATTTCACTATGTTTACGCAAATCAAAATCTTACAATTAGTTGAGACTTGCTGAATGACCCGTAAAATAAACATATTTATCAGCTGGCATTTCCCTTTTTTTTTTTTTTAAATTTTTCATTCCCCCCCAAATAAACCCTCTTTTTTTTTTGTTTTTTTTTTTTTTTCTTTTAACCCTTTT